GCAGCAGTGAGTGCACCCAAGTTCCGCGAGGGCCGCAGGCAGGGAGGGTGTGCAAAGCCGACGCCGAAAGTGGTTTCGGATTGAGAGCTTAGTGGTTCGCCTATCTTCGACGGTTGGCACAGGAACGAAGGACAGCCTGTGCCGGCAATATTAAATACAATGTGGATTTGAGGTACCAGCTTCTGGTCTTTTGATGCTTTTGATGCAGGAGTTGTAGATTTTTCAGAAGTTCTTGCGTGATGGTTAGGTAGTTTCGAAGTCGGGTTCGCCAAACTCCCTTGTTGTAGGCGCTGAAGCTTTTGTGATGGATGGGAATAATGACATTTCAGCCAAGACACTTTTCCTTTGCTATCACTGTCGCAGTAAACCCTGCAATGAGGCATGGTCAACCAGGCAAGCAGCAAAACCAAACAAAGCCCAAATACAAAACCTTAGATGCAAAACTCAGGCCCACAAACCCATGCCCAAAACTCTGCAAACCTCAACCCAAGCCCTAAAACCGTGTTCAGCAAACCAAGGCCCCGCAACCTTGAAGACCCCGAAACCTTCAGAGCCATTGAACGCTGCCGAGGAACTCGGCCGAGCGCTTCATCGACTTTGGGTCGCTTGGAGATGTGCGATTTATTGGAGCATGCTGGGAAGGGGTACTTTGCATTTGCATGTTGTTTGGGGGCAGTGGGCCCCAGTATGTGAGATCGCTAATGTAATTACCAGGAACTGCACATGTTTCAGAGGAGAAGTGGCGTTTGCACGGTCACTTCTAGCTTTTATTAAGCTAGCTACCTCAAAATCTCAAAGTGAAAGCCGAATTTAGAACAGCCCCGCCGATCTCGGCAAGGCCGGTGAAAACAGGATGGGGGAGCTCTGCATCTCGGTCCAGAGCTTTGTTTTTTTTGGTGTTTGTTGGTTTGTTGTTGCGGTCGTAGCCTTAGCCTTGTTCGTTTCAGTATGTTTCAATGTAACATGTCGTACTGGGCTTCGCATTTGGACCTTCACGTCCTGGAATGATGTCTCTGAGGGATTGGTTGGCCGTAGAAGCACATTCAGAGTCCAGGGATGAATGTACAGGCCACATGTTTTCTCAGTCCTTGCCGCACGGTGCTTTGACCTTCACCCGCGTTACCCTCTGGTTGAGAGCCAGGGAGTCGCTGGAGAGACCACATGCCCCGAAAGATATTATAAGTGTGGAGAGATGCATGCGGTTGCTGCCAGGACATGTTCAGCACACCTGTTGGGTGTTCGTCGATCAAGATCTCAGTGGAGCAACTTGGCGTAGTCAGCATTGAAAACCCTACACCTAAACCTGAAGGCAGTTTTTGTTTCTCACGACTGTCGACTTCAGATGATCTTGGTTGCGGACTGTTGTGCAGAAATTAGGTTGACACAACATGAAGCAGCTCGGGCACTCGGTTCCATCAGGGCTTGGGAGAAGCCCTAAACCCTGACATTGTGATGCCCTGACCTCCTGCTTGAGCTTATCTGACTTTGTTGTCCGAACTGGTTACATGAATCTTGACACCAGGGGCATGCGACCAAGAAGCACACCAGAAGATTCTGAAAGGTCAAATGATTCAGATTATACAGTCTTGGGCTCTGGGGCCAATCCAATCCTCGAAAGAAAGGGTCTGGGGTCGGAAATTTCCTTCTGATACTCCCAACATGATACTACAGCAAAACCCCGGAATATCCCAAAAACACTGTAGTAGATGGGATCCCCGAGACACAACACCGGAGGCTACTGGAGGTCGTGCGGCACATGAAGACAGCGATTCTCTGAGCGGCGATGTCTCAGAACCTAACCCAAACCTGTAGCTTCAGGGATGGCTTTGAGGGCGTAGTCCAAGTGGTCTGCGTGTTACTGCTCAGGTAGTCGGTAAGCAACGGGTCTGAGGCAGGTAGGACAGGCCAAGCGCGGTACCCCTGAGCATTCATGCGAACGACGACTTCAAAGCGAGTGCAAGAGGGTTGTGGAATAGTTTTGTCCATCCTAGCCAGGGTTTCACGGCAACTCCACCATCAAACAGTGGTAGAAGTCCAACTCTAGGATGGACCAAAGAGTCTTCCTACCAGGAAGTGCGATACATTTTTTCTCACAAGCATTCTGGGAACAGGTGAATCTGGAGCCGCACTCGCAGGTTCTGCCACCGAAGCTCGAAGGCTCAGTTTCACGCGGCTGCTAGCGTCGCCTTGAGATAGCGAAGAGCCCAAGCTGCCATCAGAAAGAGTTCTCTTAGGGCCTTTGGGTTTAGGGCTTGGAACTGCTCGCTTGTGGTGACCAACCGACGGCAGCTTCCAGCCTGGCTCATGCTGGCTCGCTTCGACAAAAAGGCACCGTGCAAGCTAGATAGACGGGTGTTTAAACCGAGTTGCTTCAGTTTCTTGTCAGATAGATTGGAAACCCAATGCCGAAGCCCTGCACAACTCCTGTGGAACGGATGACCAAAGCCTGACTGCATCCTCCCGGCACCTGTGCTGCTAAATTTTCGTATGGCGCTCTTGCCCTGAAGCTTGCAGAGGGGCTTAAGTCCCCGGCATGCTTTGCGGGGCTTCCTGGCTTCAGGGTTACTCGGACACCTTGTACCTTGTCGGTGTTTGTGAGGTCTCAGCTAGCGCCCGGCCAGTCACTGGGGCCTGCGGCAACAGCACCCAGGCAGAAATCGTCTGTGCAACCTCAGCCTCAGCTCTGCAAAAGCTGCCTAACCCCTACCTGCGGATAGGCCGACTGCAAACCGAGAGAGTTCTGATGTTGCGTTTATTTTTTGCGTGGTTAGGAGATTAGAGGGACAGGCTTCAAGTTCAGCACGCATGGTACACGGACCTGTAAGCAGAGCCCGAAATCCTACGAGATTCCCGACGCCACCCCTACACCCGAAGGAAAGCGTGCACAACCCCAACAAGCCTCCGGAGCCGAGTGTCTGAGGGCCGCAGCAGCGAATATGCCCATGCAGAAGCCCAAGGCGCTGTGCAATGTGCAGAAAGATGCCTTCTGATATCATGGGCCTTGACAGCCCGGCGCAGTAATGTGTCGTTTATTGCCATGCTTAGTACTCAGACGCACATCGGGAAGCTGGACCCCGAAGCGCAAACGTCCCCTTGTTGTAGTTTGCCACAGGCAGCGCGCCGCGGGCGGTTTTCCAAGCGGCAGCAGCAGCCCTGGTGCAGGTTGGGGGGCAGTGATTTTCAGAACGTTGCATCTGCATCCGCATCTGGAAAAACCGCCACCGCCACCGCCACCCCCCACCGCCACCGCCACCGCCACCGCCACCGCCACTGCCACAGCCACTGCCACCACCACTGCCACCACCACCACCACCACGACGACGACCACCACCTCTACCACGATCACCATCTTCGCCAACAGCCCTGCATCATGATGATGATCATCGTCCTCGTCGCTCCTCCCACTCCTCCTCCGCCCCCTCCTCCGCCTCCTCATCCCAATCTTTATCTTCATCATACTTGTCTTCATCCTCATCTTCAGCCTCGTCTTCGTCTTCATCTCCATATCCATCATCATCATCATCCTCATCCTCATCCTCATCCTCATCCTCATCCTCATCCTCATCCTCATCCTCATCATCATTGTCATCTCCAACATCAACATCAACACCAACATCAGCATCATCAGCGTTGCTGCCAAGATAGTCACCATCATTAGCATCCTTGCCTTACCGTTGTGGCCAGCATTGCCTTCCTCTTCCTCCTTTGCATTTGCTGCTCCATATTCATGTTTATGTCCAACGGCACCATCGAACACCATGATGCAGTGTTTCACTTTTGGCGTTTCTGCGGTGGAGATCCTCAGACAGCCTTTCTGGGGATGTCTGCCTAGAGCCCCTCGGAGGCCCGCCGGGGTCTCGCCGCTGCACTGCGCAGCTGGCGCCGAAGCTCTGCAGAACTGGCGGCCGTGTGAGCGGCCGACAAAGAGCTCCTGGATAGAGGGTTGGAGGGGGTGTGGGTAATCATCTAATTAAGCTGCACAGGTGCAGGATCTGGAAGGCACCGGACGGAGGTTGGTGGTGACACCTGGGAAGTAGACGGTGTCAAGATTCTGGCTTTACGAGTCTTGAGCAGTGTCTCCTAAGCAATCAGCAGTATCGAGTAGTGTTTACTCAGGCATCCTTGCGTAAGCTTTTGGATTTTCGAGGTGTCGCAAAATGCTGAACACTTGAAGGCCTTAGCGTATTGCGTTTTTTTCAGAAAATCTGGTGTGACCAAGATGTAGCCAGGAGAGAGACAGGATTTGGGATTCCCGAAGAACCAGAGAGAGACAGGAAGGGCGCACCACGCACGCAGGCAGATGCGGCCTCGCTTCGAACAGCAGCAGAGTACGGCATGAGCCCCAGCAGTTCCCTCCCGGGAGGGTTTTGGGTTTGGGAGGTTTGGGTCTCGAGTCTAGGGTTGAGGGAGGCATGCCTGTACCGTCTTCGGCTTCGGTCTTCAGGACTTCTGTGCATGGCGTGGGGCTGGCCTTGTGGTGAGTTCGCAAGTTCGAAGTCCACACACAGCTGCCACTTGCCAGGGTAGTCCGGGTTTCAAGAGTTGAGCCCGAATCCGGAATCCGGAACCACCTTTCTAAGAAATCCCAGGCCTTGACAAAGACGCTCCCATGCAGCTCCTCCATGCGGCCGGGGGTCTCGGGCTTCAGAGCTCTGGGGTACCCTGAGCTGCAGAGGCTTTTCGTTTCGGTGGGGTGACCTGAACCTGCTTGCATCTGCTTGCGAACGTCTTGTCGAACAACGTCGGGGGCAGGAAGTCGCAAGGATGCTGTCATGAAGTTCCGGAGCCCAGGAACCGCAAAAGCGCGAGCAGCAGAAGCGTCGAAATCTTGGAATCCCAGTTGGTCCGAAGCCCCACCTGCCAGAAAATCCGTTGGTCCGGGCTTCCCGCGACTTCAGAACATGTGGGAGTCAGATGGCCCTTTGCATTCACTGGTCCTGAACGTTTTAAGGATACGAGCAATCTAGAGCACCCTCGATGCAGCAGAACATGCATTTCTGACGGCGGTCGTGGTGCAGCGAAACCTATCCTGTTCCGTGCGCTCAGTCTTGAACGTCCGAAACCCTGACCGTGAACGCTCCCTGAAAACCAGGCCGCAGAAGCCGATGCTGCGGAGGCAGCGAAGGCAGCGAGATCCAAAACACTAAAGGCGGCAGTAGCTCCCCCAGTCCGTCCTGTAACGAAGGTGAGTTGCTGTTCAACCAGCCACCATAGCGATGGCCGGCAATAGCAAGTTCAAGGGCGCGGATCCGGAGTTTTTTTGTCGTTGTAGCACAGGAAGGAACAGTTGTTTCAATACTCGCGCTCATCTGGTTGAAACTGGTATGCGGACGGACAAGGAGAGCAAAGATCGCCAGGTGCTAGTACTTCTCGGAGATTCCAAGGATGGCGAGCAGCCCCGTGCTGAGCATCCTTGCAGGTGCTGCTGACATAGTAGATGTTGTGACTGTCGTCTGTGTAACGGTAACATGGACGAGGTGCAGTTCCAAGGTCACGTAGTAATGGAAGCAGTGGAGTTCTGTTCCCGGAACGAATGAGTACCTTACCCACGGTGTCGCTCCTACTCGATTCTGGCAGAAGCAGTTGTCCCTGTCGTTCCCCTTTTTGATAAAGCTGCGAGTTCGGGAAGCGCCGGGGACACCGTGGACGTGCTCGACAGACATGGCCGGTGCCTCCGAACCGGGAGAGAGTTCAGAACTCCCAAGCTCCAAGGCTTGCGAGGGAGACTTTGGTGTTTTGGGGATGTCAGGTGGCCAGGATCTGAATGTCGAGTTGAGCAGTGAAGTTAGCAGACCTGCTTTCACGGCACCCGAGGCGTCTGATGATGTCTAACGTTTGGATCAAAACTTTGTTCGGGATGGCCACGTGCACCCAGCGGCCACGAAGCCTTTTCCAAGCGGATCGAAGTCTCGGAGCATTGCTTGATTTCCAGCAAGCTGAGCCAACGACAAGACAAGACTTTAGCTTCTTTTGGACAGATTTGGCCGAGCGAAGTTAGGCCGGAGGATCTCATAGCGACCTCAGAGCTGCAAGACGTGTGGGAGTTTCGGAAATTTTAAGGGACAGTCGGATCCTTGCTATGTAGGGTCTTTATTGGGGGGTTTCTCAACCGGATTTCTTATGTGTTTGCTTCGAGTTCGTCTGGGATGCAAGGTCTGCCCTGCCCAGCAGACGGCGACCTACAGAGACCTCAACAATCAACCTGATCCCGAAACGCGAGCCACAAAATTTGAAACCGTATCGCTAGTCTGTTGTTCATGCGGGGACTTGAAGAGCAGGGCTGGGATAAGAATGCATGCTAGGCATTGCACCACCGAAACGATTTGTCGGAGCGACTTGATGGGATGGAGATCCCGCCACTGTAGAGCTGCACAATGCTGTCCTGACCTGGTGCTCCGATTGTACTTTGACCTTCGTCGATGGTTGGAGCTTTGGCTCGGAATACAAAGACATGATTGGACACATGTCGACCGATGAACAGCTTCATGTGCCAGCCTAACACCACGGTCCAACTACCCAAGGACGGGCAGACAAGCCGAGGACCCAAGCACTTCATTGCGGGTCGGCACTCTCTGGTCAACCATAGGCCCCAGACTCGGAACACGGCTTTGCCAACCAGCCCCGTGAATCCCTTTCTTCTCACTTTCTGGAGAACCGCTGAATAGCACTATATACCACTCATACTCCGCAGAATCACCTTCATGGCCCATCGTAGTAGTCCTAAGCAGGGCTTCCTTCCCTGCACGACCCCAGATTTCCTGGCGCAGGCATATCATATGTCTTAGGAGGTTAGGACTTATCCGGCCCCCTCGACGAGAGGGTCGTGTGATGCAGCCGTCGACGTGCTACACACTTCATGACGCTTACGATCAGCAAGCTGCCTCGACGCCAGACGCCATTGCGGTTGTCGGTTGCTTGCCCTTTATCAGTTTACAGTTGAGGCGCGATCCTTCCGTGATGTTTGAGTCAGTAAGCTGTTTAATATTCTTTCCACTCTGTCGTTTGACTTTGTTAGTCGACGGGATTTGACAGGATTGAGACTATGACTACGATCGAGTTCCAGCAACAACAAACCGTGGCCGTCGTAGTGGCAGTGGCAGTGGCACCAGTAGCAGGTGATGTTCGGTTGGCCTTTTCCTGAGCAACTCAAGGCTAAACTTGCTACTCGTACCTTGACTCGCAAGGCTGGGGTCGGTGCCGGTTCCAGCTGACCTATGGCGAGGCGCCTTGCGACTTATTTTTGCCTGGGATTCTTAGTAGCTGCAGTTTCAGCTACACTAGGCCGCTTTTAGGATGGCTTAGGGTTCATTGAGCCACAACACGACAAGATCTTCGGACGACTTGATGCGTGCTGATACCTTTGCATTTGCCGCAGGTTTCGGCGAAGTCGAAGGCACTGGCTTCCACACTGTCCAAGATTCGACATAGAGAGGACTCCTGGCGGCATCAAGTTGTACATGAGACAGGTCTGAACCCTGAGCCCCTAAATCATTGCCGATGTCAGCTTGGACTGTGCGGGGCCTTGCCTGCCTTGTGCGAGTGTGAGAGTCGAAACGAAGTGGGGACTGCTTGCACGATGCCTTAAAGCATGATGACATATGATTACATGTTCAGACGTTTTCGAATTTGGAGATCACTGAGTGTTGTGCCTGTCTTGCGTCTTGCCTCATGTTCTCGCGAGCAAACCTCGTTTGTTGGCGTTGTTCCCTAGCAATGCGAGAGGGGCAAAAACGCCCTAAACGCTACACCCTAAACCCTCGACGTGCGCAGTCGGAATCGTCGGTGGGACGGCTGACGAAGCTTGCTGCGAGACCTCCACAATCAGATTCCTCGTCTTACATTCTGGTAAAGTTGGTTCCTGCACGGCCGCGGCTTTGTTTCATGTTGGAAAGCCGCTGACTTTGCTAGACGTGCTCGGCCACCAGGACCCGAATATCTCAACCTTGCCAGCCTGCGCCTTGAATGCCTAAACCTCAGATAGGTGCACACAGCCCAGCCCCAGATCCCTCTTCCCTAAACTCCCTGTCTTCTGAGGAGAGTGGTGGTGCTGCCTCGGTGAACTGGACGGCCCCTTGGACTTTCTCTGCCTTAGGGTCGGCGAGCCCACGGGAGCCACTGTCAATGCTTCATATATGTGCATACATATATATATATAGAATATGCGTGTGTGTGTGTGTGTGTGTGCGTGTATGTGTGCATGTATGTACATATG